ATTTTGTATTGATTTTGCGCTACATTAGTACCCGAGTGAATACCTCATCACATTCAGTAACTGTGAATGTCTTGAATTTATGAAGAGGCCTGCCGCAGATCGCGAAAAGCATGGCGTTTTTCACAAAGGCACGTACCAATCGAAATAGAACATCTGCTGAAGTGTTCCAACGTATTCTTGATGCCATAATTGTTCGTCCCACCTTTAATAGTAATCGTAGCCCACAACAGCAGGTTCCATTAAATATTGAGGAACGGATCCTAGATGTTGTGATAAATGACCCGCTCCACTGGACAGTTTATAGAATCCCATGGAAGCTAAGATAAGTAAGTACTTATCGAAGAGTTGAAGCACTTGTTCTCCAAGATTTTTCAGCGAGATTAGATTCTTATAAGTCGTTTGCAAATAAATACAAATTAACCCACATTTTGTTGGTTCGATCAATGTAGGATTCGCATACATGTCGATGCTTTGATGTGATGATCATAGACCTCAGACCTACAGGTGATGTTTATTGTATACTTTTGGATAAGGTAATACCGGCTCTGTTGGAGGAAATACGAGCATATTGGCCATTATTATATCTATACAATGGTCCCCAGCCCAAACAGCTCCCCGAATTTATAGTTTTGTGTGACCCCACATAAAAAGTTTAGTTAATGTCTCAGAAATTGAAATAAAGATGACAGCGGATTTTTAATGTAGTACAACAAATACGCGTAAATTCGGACACTTTCTAGCGAGTTGGTGAAAACTGGGAATGCGGCTGTAGTGTGTGCATTGAAAAAATTATAGTAATTTTAATATGCTGTGTGAATTTTGCATTCATCCAATTTTTTGTAATTCATATTCATGATAGATAAAATTTTTGACAAAGCAGTGAAATCGGCAAGTGAAGTCAAGGTTAACTAAAATTTATCTGTAGATTCCAAGTTCTTTTTGAAAGTAGTTACGTTTGGGACATATGATTGTTTTTCACATAAACAGTTTTGATTTCCTAAGTTCAAAATTGATAAATGTGAGTTTTCCATTGTAACTTATTTTAGAAATAAGAGAAAAGATCCAATTTTCTCACAATCCTTTTATTTTTAAAAGACTACTGTTTTCGAGGTCAAGCTTTACACCTCATCTTCAGGTCTTACAAGGATATTACAATTACAGGAACATTCATCCATATTACTATTCAAAACATATTAGGATTTTGTCAACAAGATAAATTCCACTTTTTTAAAAAACAAATTTTAAAAACCTAGTACAAAACAACGTTAGAAACAGGTATTATTAAATCCAACTGAGTTTGACAAGTTGGCAATGCGTGTAGTGTTGCAAACTTTGTCGAAAACAAAAACCGCAGAGTTTCAGAATCTCAGTACTCTTACTTTGTGGATATGTCTCGTATATTTCATATACAGAGTGGTCCGAATTTTATGCAGGAAACCTCGAGGGCAGATAGATATCTTTAAAACAATATGTGTTTTCCTCATAAACACTGGTCTGGAACAGCCCCGTTTTAGTGATACAGGGTGTTGAAGTTGTTAAAAAAATTAATTTTTTGTTTATTAACTATTAACCAATCTCAATAGAATTTGGTACAGATAATCTATGATAGTAGGCCTTACATTCCCTAAAATATAAGCTTTAAAGGTTCCACCAGTGGTGTACAACTGGACAGGGGTCACCCATTTTTTTACAAAAAAACTTACTTAAATAATAACGACTGTATCTTGAGTACACACTTCGGTGATTTAAAGAAAAGCCAAAGAAATTTGTATGTTAAAGACACACACTTTAACATACAAATTTCTTCTCAAGTTATTCATACCAATACAATCATTATGTGACAGACACTTCTAACCATAATATTACAAGAATATTTATGTTTATGCTTAAAAGTAAGTGCAATTTGTAAGCACATCAACAAAATTATTTACACTTCTTTCTACACCACCTGTGAGGTAGTGTTACTGGCGTATATTAGTTTTTTCTGGAGGCCTAATACTCTTTACAAATAAAAACAGTTTAAATCAAAATAATAATAAAAATATATTTACCAACAGCAACTAAACAAGAAACAAAATTAATGTTACGTATTTACAACAATCATTCAAAATGCGAACCACCCACATCGATATATTTATGACATCTTTACACCCGTCTTCTATTAGTTGCAGTAGTTGTGGTCTTGTATCTGTTGGAGTAGAATAAACTTTACTTTTCAGGTAACCCCAAACATAAAAGTCTAGGGGGTTTAGATATGGTAATCTGGCTGGCCAAGACACTGGACCCTCTGCAACCATTATGGTTGACATTGGCATTTGGTCTTCTACCTATCCATTCCCCCATATAATTTTCATTAAGCCATTCTTATATTATTCTCCCAGAATTAATGGAACATTCTTTAATAATTCAAATAGACGGTTTTCTAGAAAGTGTAGAAATGAATGGGAATTTAGACAGGTGGCAAGAAGAAAGGTTCACAAACTTTATTGCAAATTATTCCGAGCCACATGTTCACAGAAAATTCTGTTGAAAAGATCTTGTCCGAATTTCATGAAGACTTTCTTGTGACCAAATATGCAGAATGTGAAAATTCACTACCCCTCGCTTTTGGTAAATGTACTATTATTATTATTTTCATTTAAGTTGTTCTTATTTGTAAAGATAGTGGGTTATGCTTCCTGGGGAAACTAAAACGTGTAAGGAACTCTACCTCACAGTTGGTGTGGAAACGAGTGTAAAGAATTTTGTCGATGTGCTTACAAATTCCACATACTTTTAAGCATAAACATAAATGTAATTGTAATATTATTATTGTTAGAAATGTATGTACAAGGGATTGTATTGGTATAACTTGAAAATGGAGATCCTTAGGGAAAAATTTCAAGTTACCTTTTTTACGTATTTTGTGCATTAGAACGTAAATCCGTTACAGTATCTTGTAAAAAATGCAGTGGCGTGGTTTTTTTTTATAAAAAAGGAGATGACCCCTGCCCAGTTGTACACCACTGGTTGAACCTTTAAAGCTCATATTGGGAAATGGGCCTACTGTGATAAATTATTTGTACCAAATTTTATTGAGATCAGGTGATAGATTCCGGAGATATAGACAAAAAATCATTTTTTTTAACGACTTCAACACTCTGTATCTCTAAAACGGGGCTGTTCCAGACCAATGTTTATAATGTAGTATAACAACTCTTGGTTCGATAAAAAAAACATATAAACGTAGTTGTGGCCAAAAATATGTGATCGTCATAAGGACTACCTACGTNAACTTTTGTGCTCGCAAAATGTTTTCTCATTCAGAAAAACTTGATATGTTGCTAATTTACGACGGGTCACAAAGAAATTCAAGAAGAGCTGTTGAGTTATATCGAGAAATGTATCCAGGGCGTCTCATTCCTGATCATAGAACCATTACAAGATTGGAGGCGACCTTGCGACGAAATAAAGATGCATTTTCTGTTCGGAAAAATCAAATAATTGACCGAAGGGTAAGAAACAATGTTAATACAGTTAGACTGTTATACAGAAATTTTTTCTAATAAAAGTTTATTAGAAAAAAGAGCTTTTTAATTTGGATATGTTTATGGGAAAAATATAGTTGATGACGTTATTAGTCATTTCTGTCAAATCCTAAAGATGTTTGAATGATTGCCACGTCACGTCGTCGATTTATGACGTTTCGAGAGACATATCGCTCTCTTCTTCAGTTCGCTCTGAAAGTGAGCCACAGAAGCCTACAAACAAAACCAATCCCAAAGATAATACTTTCGATTGAAAATGAAGCTTTATTTAAAATTTTTGTATCCTCACAATAGGCCCAGACTTTGAGACACCCTACACATAAATAACATGATGTTTTCGAAAAAAGAAATATTTGCAGTCGACTAAAAATTAACATTCATTTTTCCTCAAGTAGCTACAACTAAGAATTACATTAATAATAATCCGCGTATACCCTAGTAAATTTGTTTTCGTTAAAATCCTGATACCTCTCCAAGAACTCGTATGGCTGAATTTTCGCAAACCGTCGGCGAATCGTTTAGCAAAAGGGATACCGTTATCGCTCAATTAGGTTTACAGAATTCGCTCTCCAGGACTCTTCCATCGAATCAGTTGCGCCCAACAAATCGATTGTAGTTTTAGGTAAACACGTTGTTGTTCAATTAGAGCCTCCGCATTCACGACTTCGAACTTCGTTTTTCCAACTGCTCCACGGACGACTGGTAGTTCGCTAATTGTGAATTGAATGTTTGATTAGCCATTGTAACGAGGAAGTCGACCGAGCCATATTAATTTCAGTTTAGGATGCTTATTTCACGCTCGTTTACTCATAAATGGTAGTATAGATTACTACATACTCGCATATACAGGGCGTAAGGGGAACGTCTACTTCTATTTTGACAGGAATTGGAAAGCAAACAAAAGTAATATTTTTTATAAGAAACTTAAAAATACTATACTTAGAACTGTTTTTAAATAATAATAATGGACTGTAATGCATTATTAAAGAACATCTTTTAATAATTATGTGGTGTTTTATATTTCAAATAATTTAAATCAGTATAAAAAAGGCGCTGACTGTCGTACATAATAATCAGCTGTATGACAGAGACAGTCCCAGTCAAAGCTCGCAGTTGAGAAAGAAGGTCAAGTGCGTTCTTTGTTTTTGATTATCTTGTTTAACCTGTTTAATAAGGAAACACATATTATTTTAAAGAGATCTATCTGCCCTCGAAGTTTCCTGCATAAAATTCGAACACCCTGTATAATGAGGTTCTAGGTTTTTCATTCTTTCTTAAACTTAAAAATAAAAATATTAATGGGACAATAAACCTGTACTTATTCCACATTGAGTAAAATAAACACTGTTACGATTGACAACACGTTTAAAGAAAAAAGTGTACCCTAGTCTAGTTTGTATTTTCTACTCTGAAGCGCCCGAGCCATGCGAATTAGAATGATCCTGCAAACTAATTAGGCAAATCTGTTTGCAGTGTCGCCGACGCACGTTAATTTGATCGACGAGAAGAATCGTGTTGTCCAGGGAATGGAGGCCAAATTCACGTGCACAGTTCCGGGAGCGAGGCCTGAGGCAACGGTAAGATGGAAAAATGAGTCCAGCGAGGAGTCCACTGACATCACACCCCTCTCGAACACCACGTATGAGTATGTAAGTACACCTCGAGGTGCAAGAGATTTAAAAAACATAGTACATATATTCAGAGACCACAGAACATTAAAAATTAAGATTGCTTTTTCGTATAAATTATAGATTTATTGTTATCTGTAGTAAAAACTGTAGAGTCAATCTCTAGGTGGTTTGACACTTAAAAATGTGTGACCGGTGTGAAAAGAGCAGCCGAAGATAGCGGCCAATTTAGCCGAGCGATGCTATGGATATGTACGCTGTGATGGATGTCGTCAATTCCAATGTACGGACGGACGGTCACTCAAGGCAAATACTCCTATTAATAAAAATAAAATCAGTTATAATAATACGTAAACCTATAAAACTAAATAAAAAAAATTGTAAGTGCATAATACAAAGTATCCCAGAGCGCCTCAAATAGAGTGCGACAGTATTAAAAATCCCTTAGATATAAAAAAGCCACATGGTACATAAAAATGTAAGTTATTTTTTAGTAAAATCGACTACTGAAACAGATTTACTCGCAAATTATTTGGAGGGTGACAAGCATCCTTTAAATATTTAATTAAGTAGCTTCTATGCGGACTTAGATGCAACAAGGTGACGTGGTGTGGTACTAGTTGATTGTAAAGCTTTATTCCCATGTACAATGGATATTTCTCAAATTTGGTAATTTTATGCCCTGGAATGTACAACAGGTCTCTATGCCTAGTCAGATAGTCATGGTAGGAACCACTTTTTGCTAAATTATTCGCAAATTGCCTTGCATATAACAATGTTATATATAAATATACAGGGAAAAGTAAACAGTCTATAATTAATGAAATGGGGCTTACATGATCTCCTATCCGTATGATACGTATAATTCGTTTTGGACAACAAACTTAGGTGACTATACACAAGGCTATAGTACACATTAATTACAGTAGAAATTGGTAAAGAATCTCTGATGCGAGAGATAGCATAATATGGTTTATTGAGTTTTTTTCTTAAGTCGATACTTTATGTTATGACTTTAAGTTTGATTTATTAAAAGTTAGGTTTAATTCTTTATCTACCTACTCCATGATTCTGGAATGCAAATATGCAATTTGTTTTCTCAATATTAAGTATCAGGTCATTTTGGCGCGAATCTGTTATTTTTTGAAAATTTGGTCTTCCATCAAAAGATAAGTTTTTGGATTATATCTTGCAACAATGCAATGTCAAATTTGACATGAATAATAATATGTATAAAAATTCCAGTGCATTGTCTAAATGGGTAATCATTTTATTGTGTATTATAGTACAAAACACCCTGTATGTACCAATTTTTTTTATTTTATTTTACAGAATTCTTTGGAGTTTTCGAAACATGTTAGTTAGACCACGAAGACGGTGAAATATCGAGTCGAGAGTCGAGAAATGACGGAAAGTCGGTGTGTCGCATTCGCCCTGTATCTTTGAAGCACGAACAAACGGTCTAGTTATTAGACAGTCCTTACCTATCTTATTCCATTTATTACAATATACTAAATTGTGTTATATTGGTAAAGAGATATTGTGATAATGTTTTTTTAATAAATTTTGCCTTAGCTTCACTTCTGTTTTATTTAAAAAGTGAAATTTCATGAGTTTCTGGTTCATTGGTACAATGAAACTAGAACAGTAACAATTCATTCAAATCATAAAATTCAAATTAAACTAGTCTTCAGCTAATCTGGAAATCGTTCCGGAAAAATCCGGAACGAGAGAGAATTTTCTTGACAAATCATTTGTTTTAATTTGCAATTTCTGATCCGGAGCGAGAGAAATTTTTTGCCTATTTTTTGTAAAAAATTGACAAAAAATGGAACAAAAAATTCGGTAGGGGGGCGGAGGGGAAATTTTTTATAACAAAAAAGGGAGCAAACAATTTAACAAAAAATCTTCGATCTTTACCTTAAAATTTAATTGAAATTTGTATTTTTGTTTTTTGTTAAAAATTGACAAAAAATGGAGCAAAAAAATCGGGGGGAGGGCGGAGGGAAAATTTTTTATAGCAAAAAAGGGAGCAAAAAATTTTTTTAAAATTTAATTTAAGTACTTTCATTATTTCTTAACAAAAAAGTGCTCGTAACAAAAGAGGTACAAAAATACATTTCGGCAGGGAAAAAATTAATTTGTTTTTTCATACGAATTGGTGAGCTGCGTTCCTTTGTAGCCACGTTGATCTAAGCAGCATCAAAAATATACTCCCAGCCCCAGACGATTTACTCAACGTCTAGGTACTGGGAACATACATCTTCGAATGCTGCTCCTTCCCATTTTTACAGCTTCTTGCAGAAACCCTCCTGATAAAAGTATTAAAAAATGTTTATTTCACGCCCAGCAATATTGTTAACTACAGGGTGTTAGAAGTTTGACTGCCTTAATTTTAACAGACGATAGAATACATTAAAAGATGGGTCCTAAACTCAACCATTTCCGAGAAAAAAATTACAGTCTTAATTCTAAAAAATAATTAACGTTGTTATAAATTTGAAATTTGAAATTCGATAAAATTCATAACGAGCAATGAGACAACGACGCGGCAGATAACACGAGTTATTAAGCTGTTCAGCAATACCCAATTCAGTTGGTATCTGGAATTGGACTGAGTCTGAGTGTTTTTTGCGTACCACTATTTCGTTTTCTTTAGGTGTTTCCCAGCGAGTGCGCGAAAATTGTATTCGAAGGTGTCGTGCATGCATCTGGAATGGTGATGGACATTTTGAGCATATGTTGTAGTTTGTTTTGTACTTACGTTTAAAAATTACTGAATCTTGCTTTTTTAATACGTATGGTTATTTGGATGACGTGAATCTTACTTTAATTACCATTTGATTAAAAGTTAAGTTCATGATTTAAGAGACTCATAATAACTTACTTATTTTAAGTTGAAAAAAATTGTCTTTCTACGGCCCATATCTCAAACATCTTTAAACCAACAACGATGTAATTTTGTACAAAGGGTTTCTAAAGGTGCTGATTAAGAATATCTTACTAGTTCTTCATCTAAAAAAATCGCTAATACTTTTTTTTGAAAAATCGACCCTCTTTTCCATCTCAGAATGGGACACCTCTGACTACAATCAAATATGGTTACATCTAAGACTCACTTTATAGGTATATATTCAAAATATTCGAATATCAGGTGAGCGAGATATCAGGGTGGCTCCATGAAAAGTGGGACACATTGTAAGTTGCGATTAAATCTGTTTCGGTAGTCGTTTTACTACCATGCACCATATCGGATCAAGGTCCGTTTAGTTGCTACTGAATTTAATATTTAAGGGATGTTTGTAACCCTCTAAATAATTTGCTGATAAATTTGTTTCGGCTGTCGATTTAATTAATAAAGTAAATAACGCCTTTTTATGCACCACGTCGCTATTTTATATTTAAAGGATGTATAGTACTGTCCTACTCTATTTTAAGCACCTAAGGATACTTTGTATTGCGCATTTTAATTTTTTTTTTGTTTAGCTTTATGGGTTTACTTATTGTTATAAGTGATTAATTTATATCTAATAACTGGAGTATTTGCGTTGTGAGTGTAATTATTTTTCGTAAATGGGGTAAATTCTCTATTTACAGTTTCCAGCCGGATCGTCGGTATATCGAAATTGACGACATCCATCACAGGCATCGATGATATCGTTCGGGAGCGATCGGCTAAATTTGCCGCTATCTTTGGCTGCTGTTTTCACAGCGGTCAATGTGTGCCGCTTTCCAGAAATAATGACACGTAACAAATCTCTCAGAATATCTCACAATTTCAAGCCTTACGGGGGTATTTACATCTAGTTAGTAAAAATATAAGACAATTTTCAGGATACTTTTTTCAAAGAGGATACAAATACAATGCTGGGGGTACTAATAAAACAATAAAAACTTGAATGAATATGGTGAGCATACCAATTTTATATTAAAGGTGTTAAAAAGCATAAAAAATATATGTTTCCCTATTTTGTTAGTATATCAACCAATGAATTTATTTTGCTTTAAATTAAAAAGAAATATATCTTATTGGATTCAAAATCTAGAGCTTACATAAGTTCAGAAAACGTAGTTTTGAGAAAAACACGTTTAAACAGTTGTTGCTGTACATATAAATCTCGTGTTTACAGCTCGTGAATAGAAACCGACTAAAGACTACTAAAGAAAAATATCACCATTTACAGTCACTTAAATCAATTGCTAAATCTATACCAACTTATATATCTTTGTAATTACGATTTCTTTTTGTCAGTATTAAATTAGAATTGTAAGAACTTGTTTAAAAATTATAGATTTAATATGGTTTCTAAAAAAAATCATCAAGATAATGAAGAAACCTTAATTATGGAACTCTCAAGAGATTGTAACGAAATGTCAACGATAAATCGGTATTCTTCCAAAAAGACTTAAAACATAGAGCAACTGACAATCCTAAAGAATATAAAATATATCCTCTAATTGTTTCTGGTATAAATAATGATTTAAAGTCAAATTTTGCGTTACCTTTCTCAATATCAGTCAATATTATTACTATTTGACTATTCTGTGGAGGTCGCCAACTAAGTATGACTTATTGCATCGATATTTTAAAATACGTTATTTTCAAGAAAAACGCAATCGATTTTGCCATATTTAACAAATTTGTATCGAAAACAAATAACGCTCAATGTTTTCAAAAACTTGCATGGATATGATGCACTTTGTTTTAAGAAGCGGATACGACCAAAAGTTTATTTAATGAAATGATCTTGATGTCATTTAGATTCAAAAGGAGATCTATAGGACAAAAATTATATTAATTTTTTAAGCCCTAGAATTTGTAGTACCTTTCTCAAAACACCTTACGTATCTAATTCTTCCTGTTATCGATCAATTGGTTGAAATATTTCACTCCTACTAACGATACTTAAAGAACAACGATGTAGCAAATCCTCCCTAAATATTTCAGTCTAAACAGAAGATTCAGTACCTCCTATAATTACAACGCTTTTTAAAAATTAGCGCGTACAATGTTATCCCGA